GTGATTCTAACTTTTAATCATCCCAAACTTAGGCTGCCTATCTACAGCTAGCTCCGGCTGAGAATAGGCCCTAACCTAATAAACCGACATTTTAATTCCTACATCGACGATTTTAGTGGAAAACACTGCGTATGCTTTTAGAAATTTTTAGAAGTTTTTATTTCTCTTCGATTGTCATATTGAATGAAAGTAAATATGTTTATAAAGCCGTTGTGTGTATGAAAGATATCAAACTAATCAGAGCCGAATCACAAAAAAGTTCCCTAATTATTCAATATGGCGGCGCCTATGACAGATAATTTCACAGAGGCGGTTTTGTTTGCGAAAACAAATTTAGGAGTATCTAACCTTGTTTTCAAAGATAAACAGATTGAAACTCTAAAGACAGTTTACAATGGTAAAGAATTTATTGCAATATTACCCATAGCACATATTATATATTGCTTTTACGCGAGTGTCAGCGACATGGCGTGTTTACATAAAACACACGTGCTTGGGTTATTTTTACTCTGTTGTCTAAACGTGAGCGTTTTAAATGGAGGGTAATCAGGATAGTGTCACATTATGGGAAGTATGACGTAGATGGGTCGCTGCGTGCAGTATGACTTTTAATGTGATCAAGATCCATAACTCGTTTTGTCACAAAGAGTTAACTGCCTTGATAATGTGCTCCGAACTTATTTTCAACCAATTTTTCAAACATACCAAACCAGACTTCGATTGTTGATGAATGAATTTTTTATGGTAAGTCTTATAATATATTGCTAAAACAAGCCCGAATTATTCTCTATGTGTTGTAAAATTTGTTGAGCTTGGACCAATCTAATGTAGTACATATTAAACATACATTATTCAAGAGCTAAATCGAATTAAACATACATTATGCAAGACCTAAATCTTCCTATTACAGGTTTTTCTTTAGGCCTAAAGTGTTATCTTAATTATTAATAAAACATTAATTAACTTATCCAGACCATATTCAACTCTCGATGTCATCGCTAGCCTACGATATTTATTATATTAGAATCCGAGCTGCTGCTCGGCGCTCATTGGTAATTAAATCAAAAAATGGATAATCGAGACTATTTTTTTATCGTACCGACTTTACTAATGATGATCGAGGCTCGACTGAAAATTCAATCGTTAAAATCTCGGTTCAGAATGGATCAATTTGACTGGAATTTTCAGCAAATTCCCTTTACATTATCTAGATTTTAACTATTATAGTGAGTACTGCCAGCTCTGTATCTAATTTCCCATAATGTATTTTGAATTGACAGATATGAAATAAAATACAATACATTATTAAAGTGATTAAATATATTTTATGTAATACAATGTAACAAAAATAAAATATTAATTATTAATAGAAATCTATTTATAAGAAATTTCTGAAAGGTACATTATATAAGAGCTAAATCTGCCTATTTGAATTCAAATGTTATATAAATTATTATTTAGACATTGATTCACGTAACAAGTCTATAAATAATTGTTTAGACTAATGGATGTCTTGGATATTGAGTAGATTAGACAATGTCCGCCATATCTTCGTTAAATGGAGACTGCTCATTGAGGGGCTGGAACTCGAGACAATGGTACTGGACAATCAAGACTATTTAGGCTATTTTAAAGATTCGCTTAGAATAAATAACCAGTTTGACTGAAAGTTTCAATATAATCATTTCGCATGATCTATTTTTGAACTATTATAAAAAGAACGACCAACTCTTTATCTAATTCTTACATAATGTACCTTTAACCAATTGCAATATATATATATATATATACTATTATTTAGACAACCACCACTCAAGCATTATTTATAATGGCTATATAATGTATAAATATGCAAATATAAATAAGAAATGAAATGAAATGGGGTTTAACGTCCTACTGTTCTGCTCCTAAACTGGGCTAATGAAGACGGGCATACGCCATACAGTGTGCTATGAGGGAAATGTTGCCCGGGCAGTGGCGCTACGGCCTACTCTTATATCGAATTGCAACTGCCAAGGGATCTTTTATGTGCACGCCAATATGTACACGGGACCTCGGTTTTTCGTCCCATCCGAACGACTAGACAGCTGTCCTAACAATATAATACTGTCTTGCTTATCGATGTAACTTCCAACTATTGGCGGTATGGTGATCACTGTGTCATCTTAGTCACAGTTTAAAACTGGCGTTGAAATGAAACGAAACGGGGTTTAACGTACTAATTTTCTGCAGAACCCGGACGAAGACGGGCATACGCCAAGTAGTGTACTATAAGGGCAATTACGCCCAGACAGCCACGCTACGGCTACTCTTTATTTTGAATTCCAACCGCCACGGATTCTTTTACGTGCACACCAACGTGGACACGGGACCTCGGTTTTTCGTCCGATCCGAAAGAACTTTCTCGACCAATACCAGGATTACCCCGATACTGAGCAAACAATATATTGGCTACTCCTCAAAGGAGTAAACCGAGTGTAAAGCTATGAACAAAACCCTGGCGTTCAAAAATATTAAAAATAAAATGAAAACTTATAATAAAATGAAAAATTAAAATAAAATTAAAACGGTTACTTGTTGATAATTGAAGAGTCCAGGGGAAGAACGATCTAAGTCACATTTTTGTCTTTTCGCATAAAAGGTAAAACAGTCGCTTGGATGAGAATGCTTGACGCGAACAGAACAACGAGTGGGTTTAAATACAACTTTAAAATGATGTTGAATACGAATCATAATTACCAGTACAACAACTGACTTCAACTTTTCAGCCAAATTAAGGTCAAGTAAATACGATGGAATTGTATTTGTCCGTGATGCCATTTCAGAAGGGCCTTGGTTTGATGTGACTCCGATCGTTTTTACCTGAAATTGATTGTTCTACAGAAAGCTTATACAATTTGCTACCAGATGTCGCCGTTAACTGGGGTTCATTAAAAAAGTGACTTAGATCGTTCTTCCCCGGGGCTCTTCAATTGGTAATGCTGATAATAATAATAATACGAATAAATAGTAAAACTAACCAATAGCTGCTCTAGGGTCTTTTACAAAGCTTAAACGTGGAATGTATATTACTATAAAAAATATAGTGTGGGATGTGCATAGATGTCGATAAAACACAGACGGCCACGCAAAGCGCGGAATTACGTCTACACAGAAGCCATGTCTCGAGAAAACGATAGCAACCTATTATGCCTTCAAAAAATCTGGAAAGGAAGAACGGTGAATATCGGTAGAGTTCGTCCTCCCACGTCCCCAATGCTTCACACCAAATTTGAGAAAGACATCCGTTTAAAACTGTAGCCTGTGTCTCGTTCCCAAGGTCCTGGCAAAGGGTTGAGGTTAGGGTTGGGGGGGGGGGGTGCAGGGCCTGGATAACGCCGGTCCTGAAGTGTACGGAAAGCTGTATAGGCTATCGATAGGATTCATCCCCTTATGTCTCCAATGCTTCGCACCAAATTTAAGAAAAATATAGTCCCTATCGCGTTCATAAGTATTTCGGAAAAGGGTGCATAAATAATTCTAGGACTGAGGGTGGCTGAATATCGATAGTGATCGTTCCATCATAACCACACTACTGCATACCAAATGTGAAAAAAATACAATCCGTGAACAACTGTAATCTCTATCGCGTTCACAAACCAATTGTTGACGGAAGGATAGGGTGACGGCATAATAATTTCAAATTGCACGTCTTGAGTTGGCTTTTAAAAATGGCAATACTACATGTAGTATGCAATATGTTTATTTTATTCATCAAAATCACGTAGATCAAAGGATCTAGAAAAAGACCACCATTATGAATTGCATCAAGGGTTTTGTATGAACATCTTTTAAACATACATTATGCAAGAGCTAAATCTGTCTATTGTAGGTCTTTCTTTAGGCCTGAAATGTTATCGTAATTATTAATTAGACATTAATGAACCGATCCAGACCATAATCAACTCTAGATGGCATCGCTAGCCTGCGAACTTTAGTGGATTATGAGCCGATTTACTGCATAACTTTCCTTCACGATTAAGTGGATAATCGAGACTATGCTGTTTGTCGTACTGACTTTAGTAATGATGATCGTAGCTAGGCGGAAAATTCAAACGCCTAGTTCTCGGTTCATAGTGGATCAATTTGACTGAAATTTTCAGCAAATTGTCTTTACATTATCTAGTTTTTAACTATTATAGTGAAAACTGCCAACTAGTTATCGAATCTCCCATAATATATATTTTAAAAAATCGAATATGATATATCGAAAGGAATATGATATAACGAAAGGACCCGAATCGTTGATTTGTTTTATTTACGATTTTGAAATAAATAGTGTGAGAGATATATCGCGCGGGGGCGGGGGGGGGGGGGGGGTGTCAATAGAAAAGCGTTTTATCGAATCTCCCATAATATATATTTTAAAAAATCGAATATGATATATCGAAAGGAATATGATATAACGAAAGGACCCGAATCGTTGATTTGTTTTATTTACGATTTTGAAATAAATAGTGTGAGAGATATATCGCGCGGGGGCGGGGGGGGGGGGTGTCAATAGAAAAGCGTTTTATCATACCTCGGTTATTATACATCAGAGGAGTTTGTTTTTTAATACAGACATGTTTGTTGGCAAATATTACATGATTTAGCACCAAAAGGAAAGATAAAATAAAAAAGTTCCAGAATTTTAAAATATATGAAGAAAACCCCCCAGAAAATCTAATGTTTTGAAAATTAAATAGCACCATGGGTGCGCCTCTGTCCCCATATATCTGTGGAATTCGTATACCCTTTCTGAACTTGAAAAAAAAAACCTATTACAAATGCCATCAAGTTTTATTATTTCTCAGTTTTATCACATTCCAATATATTTGATATTTTTGTTCAGGTATAGTTATTCCCATATATGGGCAATTCCCTTCATTTGGGATCAGACATTCCTGGTCGCTTATATCTGGAGTACAGCGAAGACCTTTTGGAAAGTCTTGTAATTTTATTCCACGTGCACGGGAAGGGAGATAACCAAACAAGTAAGCGTCATCAATCCAAATAAATGGTGTCGTGTTCGCAGCTTCGAACAAAGGTTGTATGACGTCACCAGTTAATATAACAATGAATCCGCGACAATATGGCCAGGGCCATAACCAATTGTGACTGAATATTTCATTGTCTAACTCCCATTTTCCTTTGCGAAATATCCACCCATAATTTATAACATCGCATAATATACTCCCGCCTTCCGAAAATGAACCTAAATAATTTAAAAAGCGCCACATATCAAATATTACGTCATCGTCAACTTTGACTACGTATTTCACATTTGAACAATGTTCAGTTATCCACCTCAGCCCCATCACACCTTTATGGGTAAGATTATGATATGAATCTATGAAATTGCCCTGAACCGTGTCGCAATATTTAATATGCTCCTGTTGTATGTATTCCTGAATCTTGGTGTCATTAACTAATCCCAACAGAAATACAACACGTACTTCCTTAAACAAATCACGTGATCCAAACGTGGACCGTATATTATGTCGTCTGGTGAAATGATGGACGGCCGTATAAACGACAACCAAGGCCTTTACTGTTGGAATGTCGGAACATATTTTAGGACTGTTCAATACATAAGCACCAGTTAGAGTTAACGGAAGCCCTGTGTTGGGATTGGCCACGCTGGAATTTTCGTCTATTATCCACCATGAAATAAAGAAACCCAGAAAACACCCATATACGACATATGTGATTAACCTGTACGGTTTTCTAAACATTTTCTTTTAAATTTCTTTTAAATACCAGTCCAAAAATGATTCGAACCCGTCCAGTATAAATAGAGTATGATCTAAACAAACGAGCGCCATCTTTGTTTAAACCGGTAAGTTATCTACCGTCGATATTTTTAGTTTGTTTAACTGTTAAGTAATCATTTTGCGCACACTTGAGTGTTGAGTAAGCTCTTAAGAAATGACGATCAACTGCGTAAATAACTCTTTTGAGTAAATATCATCAGGCAACAATAACAGAGTAAATATCATCAGGGAACAATAACTCTTGAGTAGATATCATTAGGAAAGAATATCAATATCATCAGTCAACAATAGCACCGAGTAAATATCACTGGGAACAATAGCACTGAGTAAATGTCACAGGAAACAATAGCACCGAGTAGATATCATCTGGGAACAATATCAATATCATCAATCAACAATAGCACCGAGTAAATATCACAGAGAACAATAGCATTGAGTAAATGTCACAGGGAACAATAGCACTAAGTAAATATCACCAGGGAACAATAGCACTAAGTAAATATCACCAGGGAACAATGACTTGAGTATATACCATCAAGGAACAAACCTTGTGGCTTTACCTTTCTTTGGATTTGTTTGTCTCAACTCTTCAATATTTGTATTGTACATTATTTACATCTGGGGTAGTCGGGAGTTGTCGGCCTTACCAGTCTGCCGTATTCCAGACGACACGGTTATAACGACACTGAAATGAAATGAAATGAGGTTTAATGGCCTACTGCTCTGTTCCATCCGGGATAATGAAGACGTGCATACGTCATACAGTATGCCGTGAAGGTTATTTTGCGCTACAGCCTTCTCTTATATTGAATTGTTTATTTTTAATGTTTATTTGATAAAGTATAGTTCAAATTGTCAATTTTACATAATTAAAATTCTTGTCAGCTTTTATCGGTCACCAGTTGGAAATATGAAATTTCCCGTAACGACTAATAATTTTGTTGGAAATATGTGAATATTCCATAAATAATTATTTAAAAGCCTATTATTTCTAACGATTGGTCATTCAGGCATACTAGAGCATGTTTTTCTCAATTTGGCTACTTTTTAAAACAAAGAAAGTTCGTTTAGTTACGGAGTGGGGGGGCTGAATGGTTAGAACGTGCGCGCTGTATCATAAGGGGGATGCTCGATTCACAGTCCAGAACGTCCCGAATTGACAGAATTGCAATCGAGTAACGCGGAATTCAGTTCTGTCACAGTTCTGACAGTCCCAACAACGGAGGTGGTGTGAGTAGAATCGTGACGTAATTAAAAGGTTTCGGCTGCACGGTTGGTTGAGATATTTACTAATTCAGTCGACGCATGCGCTGTAGCCCGAAATCCACCTTTTCACTCGATTGTCACTATTTTTGGAATTGAAGGAATTCAATTCCGGAACGTTCAATCGAGTACCCCCAAAGTCTGTCATTGAGTCAACTGGCGTGGTTTCGATTCCCCAGTTGTACGTGACAAGGAGTAGGGTCGCCTCTCCAACCTCGTGGGTTTTCTCCGGGTCCTCCGGTTTCCTACCACTGCTAAAGACCCCTACGCGCAAGCGAATTATGGAAATAAAATTGAACCATATGTTAGTGCCGAAATTACCTAGTTTGTGTCGCATAAAGATAAGTAGAAAAACTGAAGATATGTGCTTGCAATCATTTTTACTGACTGTTTATTCGCAGTGTTACAGACATGAGAGAGAAAGAGAAATGTTTTTTAACGCCCACTCGACACAAACTAGGTCATTTCGGGACTAACATATGGTCCAATTTTATTTCAATAATTGTAACTTTAAGGGCGCGTACTTTAAGTCATAAGATATATTATTGATTCAATGAGTACTGTTTCTCCAGGTCCACTGCCAACACCTGGTAAATGAAAGGTGATGAAACCGGGTTTAACGTCCTACTTTTCCGCATCAATCTGAGCATGACCAGAGCCCGTGAGAAATTCTATGTGCTGGGGCCAGACAAATTATCCCCACCCCACCCCGCCCACCACCAAACCTACAACCTGTCTTAAGACACTAAGATCATAAAATAAACTATGATATACATTTATCGGATTAAAGCATCTAGGATTAGAAGAATAATCGACTTTAATACAAAAGGGGGTTCATGGGCTCCGGGACGATGTATTGGCTGCACCCAGAAGACTACACTTGCAATGTGAAGTACAGTCCGTAACATGCACAGAAATAGGACATTTCTAACATAAATCATTTACAAAAACAACATAAAAATTAAACGTCAATTTCGCATCAAAAACAAAACAAATCTAACAGCCGCTGCCCGGGCAAAATTTCCCTCATAGCACACTGTATGGCGTATGCCTGTCGACATAAGTCTAGTTCGGAGCAGAAACGGAGCAAAAAAGTAGGACGTTAAACCCCCTTTCATTTCATTTACAAATCTAATAGAGATCTTGTCATTTTAAAAGAAAATAAGATAATAGTCGACACCCACCTTAATTTGAGATCACAGAGCAAAATGAAACAACCTTGTTTTACAGCAGACTAAAACAGCTGTCTCTTATACAACAGAATAAAACTCTTGTAACAGATGTCTAAACGTTTTCCTATTACTATTAGCCATATATACATACATGTACTCTTAAAGGTGCCGTGCCCTTTTTTCTGCCTGAATACGGCCAATAAATAAATGAACTCAAATGGGTTTTAACACACTACTTTTCCCGCCTGGGCGTATGCCATTTTTTCCTGCTTTTCGACAAATTCCATATTTCAATGGTTCTTTTAAACTGCAGGCCATCGTTTAACACGGGATCTCGATTTCCCATTACATCCGAAACACGAGATTCCATGGCAGTACACCAGTCCTGTCCCAACATGAAACAGTAGACTCGAACATATTCACTGAGCCACTGATAGAGAGAGAGAGAGAGAAAGAGAGAGAGAGAGAGACCCAGAGAAAACCCACTAGGTTAGACAGGCGACCCTACTCCTTGTCACGTACAACCGGGGATCACTGAGCCACTGTATTTCGTGTTCAGTATTTTTACCTGACCTGATGATGTTATAGTGGGGCATTGATATTGCCATAGCGCGACATTGATATTGATATTGTTATAATGCTATGATGATGTCGCTCGTGCAATATGTAAATAATTTAATTAAAGCAACCTGTTCATAATATCAGATATATTAAAACAACAACAAGCTACAGTGCAACATTCATATTGTTATAGAGCGACATTGTTGATATAGCCAGAGATTGGCGTTGTTATGGCACGACATTGATTGAAAACCGACTAAAAAAAAGGACGGCTTCCTTTAAGAAAATATTGTAACTAATTAGACCATGACCATGTTTTTACGGTGAATGACTAGGAATAAATGTAAATAAGTATTGTACTATGGATAGGATTTAATTGGCTGATTCAGAAATTAATTTTCAAGCATTATTTTCTGGAAAGAAAGTGTCTATTTTATCTGTGACCAATCAATTTGGTTCATGGGGGGAATATGGCAGTGGGAGAGAGAGAAATGGGGTTTAATTAAAATCCACTCGACTCAGACTAGGTTATTTCGGGACTAACATATGGTTTAATTTTATTTCAATAATTCGCAATGCGCGTAGGGGTCTTTAGCAGTGGGAGGAAACTGGAGGACCCGGAGAAAACCCACGAGGTTGACAGGCAACCCTACTCCTTGCCACGTAGGCTTACAACCGGGGAATCGAAACCCCGCCAGTTGACTCAATGACAGAGCGTATGATACAACGCGCACGTGCTAAACATTCGGCCATCCAACCCCCCAAAATGAGAAATAACATGATATACATACATTTCGCTGTCCAACCTCGTGGGTTTTCTCCGGGTCCTCCAGTTTCCTCCCACTACTAAAGATCCTATATAGGCGCAAGCGAATTATTGAAATAAAATTGAACCATGTGCTAGTCCCGAAATGACCTAGTTTGTGTCGAGTGGACGTTGAACCCCATTTCTCTCTCTCTCTCTCCCTCTCTCTATTTCTCATTTTCATCTTCTATATTATTTATAAGAAAACCTATTTATATATAATTATCAAAGATAAATAAATAGGTAGAATCCGTTTATCATCCACAATTTGTACATTTTGAGAAAATAGAGCGTGTAAATAGGATATGCAGATTATTGAATTTGAAAGTAATAGAAGATGAATACCTTCACCTTATTATATATCCATACTTATATGATTACAAGAAAAAAATATATAAAATCTGACTATTTTGTTAATCTAAATCGCTTTTTTAGAAATTCAATTATTATCTGTAAAAATATCTAAGAACTGAATAATCTTGACTTATAAATGTCACTTACCGACAAAAACCTACTGAACATTTATGTTTAGTGTTTGTTTATATCTTTCACTTACCGACCACAAATAGAGTTACACAATAATTGTATATATCTGTATATTATAGTGTTACACAATTGTATATATCTGTATATTATATTTATTTATTGTATATAACTATACATGTATTATATGCATATTATTAATTGTTTATATTTATCGGATAAGTCAATATTTATTTATTATATTTTATTATATTAGTTGTTTATATTTATCGGGTAGGGTCGCCTGTCCAACCTCGTGGGTTTTCTCTGGGTCCTCCGGTTTCCTCCCACTGCTAAAGACCCCTATGCGCAAGCGAATTATTGAAATAAAATTAAACCATATGTTAGTCCCGAAATGACCTAGTTTGTGTCGAGTGGACGTTAAACCCCATTTCTCTCTCTCTATATATATATATATTTATCGGATAAGTCCTACGATTGTATATATTTGTATATTTATTTATTATATTTTATTATATTAGTTGTTTATATTTATCGGATATGTCGTCCGGTTGTATATATTTGTATTTCATATTTATTTATTATATTTTATTATATTTGTTGTTTATATTTATCGGATGAGTCCCACGGATGTATATATTTGTTTTTCATATTTATTTATTATATTTTATTATATTTTGTTTATATTTATCGATTAAGCTCTACAGTTGTATATATTTGTATTTCATATTTATTATATTTTAATATATCAGTTGTTTACATTTATC